GAATGGGCAGCCAATGCAGGGCAGCCAGAGTGGGGGAGATATGTTGATGTTTTCTCACCCCAGTAAGAAGTCTGGCCACCGCGTTCTACACCATTTGAAGGTTCCACATCAATCTCTGAGGTAGCCCCACATAGAGCACATTACAGTAGTCTAATCTCGAGACTACAAGTGCATGGACCAGAGTGGTGAGGGCCGCTGCATCAAGATAGGAACGCAGCCGGGCAATCTATGGAAGTAGGTGGAGCGGACCGCTGACACTACCTGGGTTTCCATAGTAAGTGCCGTATCCAGATAGACCCACAAGCTGCGAACCTCACTCTTCGTGGTGAGAGTCACCCCCTAAAAAGAGAGGGAGTTTCCCAAACCACTGATGGAGGGGTCACCCACCCTCAAGACCTCCGTCTTGTCTGGGTTCAACATCAGACCATTCACCTGCATCCACCGCAATACAGCCTCCAGAGAGCGCTGAAGGGATGCAATGCCTTCCACTGTTGTTGGGAAAAAAGGGAGATGTAGAGCTGGGTGTCATCAGTGTACTGATGGTATGAAGCCCCCCACCCCCTGATGACCTGACCCAGCGGCCTCAGGTAAATATTAAACAGCATTGGGGAGATGATCGATCCCTGTGGGACCCCACAATTGAGACTCCACAGGGATGATACAGTCTCCCCAAGCTGTACTTTCTGAGGATGGTCCTCCAAGAAGGATCGGAGCCAGGCAAGCGCCAGGCCACCGATTCCCAGCTCAGAGAGCCTCCCCAGGAGGATACCATGGTTGACGGTATCAAAGGCAGCTGAGATATCATGGAGGACCAACAGAGACATTTTGCCCCTGTCGGCCTCCCTCAACAGGTCGTCAAACAGGGCGACCATTGCCGTTTCCATACCATGGCACGGCCTGAAGCCCAACTGAAATGGATCCAGGGCATTGGTCTTATCCAGAAGGGCCTGGAGCAGATCGGCCACCACCCTCTCTACCGCTTTGCTAAGGAAAGAAACATTGGCGATGGGCCTAGAATGGCCAGTGTCGTCCGCCGCCAAGCTTGGTTTCTTCATATGCCTTTCTTCTCCCCAAAGAGACCCAGAGTGTCACAGAACACCAAAAGCATATATCTAACATACAAAATAAAATATTTCATATACAGTATGGAAATGATGAAATGCAGTAAAAGTTAGCTACAACACAAACATTTTTTTTCTTATATCTATTGAGTTATAAATGAACATATGGCCCTAAGACTGAGCATTCTCCTGGTCAGCTCCGTGGCACCGTGTTCTGGGGAAGAACAGGGAAGCCTGTGCGGGAGGCGTTTTCTGCCCTTTTCTGCCGGTTCTGGGACCTTGTTTTCTTCCTCTCTTGGGCAGCTCCGAGAAGGCGATTCAACAAGGACTGAAGGAGTTCTTTGGCTTCTTGACGCTCCTGATGAAAGTGCCCACCCTGTTCATGGTGGAGCTGATCCATTTTCTCAGCAAAGTTGTTTTCCAGGTGAGAGGGCATTGTCATGGCTCTGCAGAAGGACTTTATTTAGAAATGGGAAAAATGCACCGTTTAGAAGGAACCGGTCTGTTGTTTTTCACATCATATTGCAGAAGACAACTTCAAAATATATCCAGGAGCCAAAGATGGGTTATGTGCACAGCTGTTGGCAAAGTATGCTTTGCTTTGGCTCCTACATATATTCAGTGGGATCTATCCCATTCTCTCACCTATTGCTGTTCTCATTTTCTTCCTCAGCCTCGTATTAGACTAGGACAGCTTTCCTCAATCTCCTGCCCTCCAGAGGTCTCGGCCCCGTATTAGACTAGGACAGCTTTCCTTCCTCAATCTCCTGCCCTCCAGAGGTCTCTGACTACAGAACCCATCGTGACCAATGGTGGTTCTAGCGTTCTTCCCCTGGTTCTAGGTTGCCATAATCTAGGGCAGTGGTTCCCAACCTTCTGGGAATCTGGGATCCCCAGATGTTCTTGGACTGCAACTCCCAAAAGCCTTCCCCACCAACTGTGCTGGCTGGGATTTCTGGGCGTTGCAGTCTGAGAACATCTGGGGACCCAAGGTTGGGAGCCACTGGCTTAGACCAAGAGCTGGGCTCTCTTCTCAACCTAATGGGGAAGTTCACTTTCCAATAAATTCTTGGGGACTGCATTCCAAGGGACGGGGAAAGGATAGGATCCCAAACACCATCAGAGTTTGCTTGCCTTTGACCATGCTGTCTGGAGCATTCATCACATTTGCTATTATTGCCTGTAACGAACCCTTAGCGGGAGGGTTTCACTTTCTGAAAATGGGAAAAGACCCGTACAAGCACTGGGGAATCATCAGATGATAATATCTTGGGGAAAGAGGCATAGCCAGCTAGGAATTTAGAGCAAGCCAGATTCAACTCTCAAGAAGGCCTGGATTTCCAACCCTGGATCTGAATGTCCCTACCCTCGCCCTGGGCAGAGGCTTCTCAAATCCGTTTGGGCTTCTAGCCATGCTCCTCCGCTTCCTCTTTTTCAGGGGCTGGTGGTGGATCTCATCACTGCAATAGGAGAGGAGATGCTGGAGCCCCTCCTGGCGGCTTTGCTCCACAGCATCTTCCAGCCCCTGATGATTTTCCTGCTAAATGTTCTCTCTGGGGTCCGGGACCTGAGCTGCCCAGTCATGGACATCTTGAAGGGCCTCTCTTTGCAAGTGGCCGTTGTGCTGAAGGCTTTCCGACTGGTCGAAATCCACAACCGTCCAGAGACGCCTCGTGCCGAACAGGTCTAGTGCAGAGGCGGGACTAGAGCGAACCCACTCTGAAATGCCCAGTATTTGGGAATCCCTCTTGCTGGCAACCGGATGGCGCTGACAGCCTGGCTGAGAACGGAGGGTGCTCCAGGGTGGCTGGTCTCTCCCGCTTGGTGGGGTTCAACCTGTTCTGGGTGGGGTTGCCCTCCTCCTGAAGAGGCAGCCATGCAGGTTGGGAATGCTCCCAGATGGGAATGTTCATGACGGGAAGCACAAATAGATTTTCTGGCATGGAATACTTGGGCTGAGGCTCCACATCGGGCCATTGATACCGGCTTGGATTACTAGTGTGTGTTTTGCATGGGGCTGCCCTTGGAAACCATTGGGAGACTATTGTCCATGCTAAATAACAGCTGCAAGAGTAGGCACTGGGAACTTAACCACTAGTGCTAAAGCATCTTTACTGGCTCTCGGTCTCTTTTTCGGGGTGTATTCCAGGCGCACCACAACCTTGCGATCTGCCTACAGCAAGTGCCGAGATCTGAACCGGCCTGTCTCCTAGGCTTTGTAGTCATTCTGTGGAGGAGGGTTGTGTCCCTCCCCTGGCCACCATCTACGGTAAGAGACGTTCCACCTTCATTGATTTGAAAAATACTTGGGAGCGAGGCTGAACAGGTTCTGGAAATAAAACAGTTTGGGAAAGTTACTTTTTGGGACCACCGCTCCCAGAAACTCTTAGCCAGCATGGCCATGAATCATCTATTTTTGTATATTTCAAAAAATTCAATTCACCTCTGGGCCTCTTTGAACTGTTTCAAAAGTGGTTGACACAAATTACCCTCCAGCTTTCCAGTTGTCACAAATTTGCACAATGGAACAATCACAGCACATTACTAGCTGTTGAAGATAACTCTGGTCAGGGTGTGCTTGTAGGCAAGGAAGTGTGGCTGACCACCTCTGGCTATCTGCTGAATGGCCAGGCGGTTATTGATATGTAGCAAAGGCAGGGTCTCTGGTCATTGTTCTGTTCTTTTTTCCCCCTTTTCTTTTCAGCAGTATCCTCTTGGCTTAAATGTGTCACTGTATAAAATCAGAACACATTTCTGTTTCATTTAACTGATCATGTAGAATGTCTGTTGTGCTCTGCTTACAAAATGGGAGTTCCCTGTGAGCAGGTAACTTTTGTACAAAAATGGAAGGGCTGATCAATTCCCAATAAATTTGAATATGTTGGAATTTTGCATAGATCACGAGCTGAACTGTTAGAGGCTAAATAACAAAAGTGTGTTTCAGTGTTCTATCAGATTTATTACAGCATCAGCTGTCGTAACCTGTAACCCCCTTCATTGGGTATACAAGGAGATAATCTAACATTTCAGGAATCAGTGCAGTACACATGATGGTCAGGGCAATGAGGTCAGGGCAATTCAACAAAGAAAACATGGCTATTTAATACTATTGCACCATTATTAACACTGTCCATTCACAAAACTATTGCAAACTGCACAAATATTTTAGCACCAAGCCAGTCAATACAGCTGCCCACCTCTCCTTTCAAGCTGGCAACTGCATCTTAATCATCTGTGCTTCTAATCTCCTTTTAAAGTTTTTTTGCTCCACAGTGGCTCCTTTCAGGTCAGTGACTGAGCTGTCCAGGAGGTAAAGTTGTCTTTCCCCTGATGGCTTGAACAGTGCCATTTTTAATGACAGATGCATCTTTTGCCTGTGCTTCTGCTTTAGAGGCTGGTTGGTTTCTCCTACATGGAGTGCAGAAGGCAAATTCTTATGTAAAAACACAAGCAGTGGCATTGATGAGACTTATACAGCAGATAAGAGGATGGATTTGGCATTTGGGTTTGTAAAAGGGCCGGGTAGATGTCATAAGCGCAGGCTGGGGGGGGGGGTCCTTCATCAAGGGTCTCCAAACTACAACTGTATGGCCCGTGGGCCACATGCGGCCTGCCTTGACTTTTTTATCCAGCCTGGGCATAGGGAGACCCAAGCGATCTCCCACCCTCGCTATCTTGACAGCAGGGGTAGGGGATCGCTTGGGCCCCCCTTCCGCCCTTTGGCCCTTGAAAATAGCGCAGGCTGGGGGGGGGGGTCCTTCATCAAGGGTCTCCAAACTACAACTGTATGGCCCGTGGGCCACATGCGGCCTGCCTTGACTTTTTTATCCAGCCTGGGCATAGGGAGACCCAAGCGATCTCCCACCCTCGCTATCTTGACAGCAGGGGTAGGGGATCGCTTGGGCCCCCCTTCCGCCCTTTGGCCCTTGAAAATGTGTAAAATATATGATGTGGCCCTCGTTCTGAAAAGTTTGGAGACCCCTGTCCTAGATCATGTGCAATTTTGGTTGATTGGTTACAACCAGAGGTCATCTGTTGAAGCCCAAGAACGCCCATGGGCTCATCCAGCAAAGCTGACAATGGACAATGCAGGAAAGTTAAAAGGAAGTATTTCTTCACACAACAGTAAATTAAACTGCCCCAAAGAGAAAGTATTATGCCTCCTTTCAGACTTAGTAGGTGTATTCTGCCCTTTCTGTGGACGACGACCCATTCTCAGATGCAGGGTACTTAAAATCCAGCCTTGAGTGGACATGCAGATTTCACACCTTCATGGGCATGGGACCAGAGTGAAACACCCATAGTCCTAGGCCACAGAGACTGAATCTGTGAAAATCCTAACAAAAATATGCTCACAAATATGAGAAACAAAGCAATGGCCCACAGACTGGAAACGTTCAATGTACTTCAAACCTTAAGAAAGGAGAAGCCAAGGAGTGCCCTAACTGCAGGAATGTTGCTTTGATTTCCCATGTGAGCAACGCGATGCTCAAGGTGTTGCAGCGAAGGCTTTCACCTTATTCGGAGCAAGAAACGCCTGATGTTCAAGCTGAATTTTGAAAAGGAAGAGGTCCTTGAGATCGTATTGCACTGGCTTATAGAGCATGCCAACGAATTTCAGAAGATCAGTCTGTTCTTTTCAGATGGCAGCAAAGCCTTTAATTGTGGAGAAGATCATGAGAAGCTGTGGGTTGTTCTGCAAGAAATGGACGTGCTTTGCCACTTGATAGTCCTGACATATATTGTGGACAAGAAGCCACCGTTAGGACAGAATTTGGGGAAAGAGGATGGCTTCTTATAGGCAAATGTGTCAAACAAGGGTGCATTTTATCTCCTGATCTGTTCAGTCTGTAGGCAGAAGATGTCACGGGGGAAGCCAGACTAGATTCAGAGGAAGGAAGAGTGGAAACTGTTGGGAAAAAACCAAAAACATCCATAATTTAAGATCCGGAGATGCCACCCTCTCTTCCAGGCAGGAGGCAGCCCTGACTTGGAAGGACTATTTGGTGAAAGTTAAATAAGAAAGTCCCAAAGCAGGACAGCTGCTGAACCAACATGAACATTTTAACAAAAATAAATAAAGTAATAACTCCCGAAGAATTAGACAACTCTGAATGCGGATCGTGAGGACATTTAATTTATAGGCCATGAAGAAATTATGACAGGATTGCATGCGTGAGGGAGGCAGAGGGCGGGTGAGGTTTATTTATTTATTTAATTTCATTCCTCGGCGTGTGTTTCTCTCTTTTTCTTCGTTTATTTCATTATTTCGAGACTTTTCCCAAGGGAGAGGAGGACTCTCTATCCGGACCCGCCCGGCCTTCCACAGCCAACGGCCCACAAGCCCGGCGCCTGGGAAAGTTACTTTTTCTGAGGAGAATTTCCTCACCACCACCCCCCACATCCTTCCAATGCCTTTTTGGG